ACAGTCTGCAAAGACACCTCTGAGATCATCTGGATGTGTTCCCGTCAACTGAGAGAAGGAAACAGAGTTAATGAAATCACACTGCTAGCTGGGATGCACGATACGAGTTAGTTAATCACTGAGTGCTCACTGTATGTTAAAGCTATGACCCCTCTACACGAATGATCTCATTTAACTCTTGCAAGGGTGCTTTGAGGGACGGGATATTATTAATCTGATGCAGAGACCGGGACACAGCTAGAAGGCGCTGAGCCAGTCGGCAGGAGCGCAGCAACCAGCCGTGCACTCTCTGGAGTGCTGCCGAGAGGTGGATACCAGACACCACTGCGGCCCACAGCAATGGGATAAAGACCAGAAAATAGCTAGGGGGGTGGGGGGTGGGGGGGCAGCTTCAGCTTTGGCCAGAAAAGCCATCATATTAATTACCTGGCACACAGGCGCCCAGCAGCCCCAGAGGTTTCCTCAGCACCCAGCCTGCAGAGGCAAGTCTAAACACCGTTGCCGACTGGAATCCAACCCGTCATAAAACTGCCCCTATAGCACGGGGGCCAGGAGCACGTGGAAATCCTTCAAATCCTTGCCTCTCAACAGTCCACCCCACCCCTCCCCCACCTCGCCCAGCCAATCTCCTTCCCAGCACTGCAGACCCCTCAGCCCGGCCTGGGAAAGGCACTTTGCATAGTCAGCTCTTCTATGAAGGGTGTTAATTTGGTTAGCTCACACCCAACTGTGTACAAACATGCAAATCATTAACATTTCCATTTAACAGGCTGGTATGGCCCAGAGCTGCTGGGATTTCTGAAGGAGATAACAATTCAATTTGCAATTACTGCTGCGATTTTTAATTCCCAAGGAAACTTCTCTGCCCAAAGCCAAAATGACCACCGTAAGCAACCTTCAAATTATTTCTGAAAAAGAAAGAAAAAAGAGAGAGAGAGATTTAGAGAGTGTGTCTTCTGAGGCGTCTGGGTCAATGAGTCATAAGGCCACTGAACAGAAGTCGGGGCAGCCTGGGCCGTCCCAGGTCCCAGCTTCCCGGAGCAAATGCACATGAGGACGTGCTCAGTTTACTGTTCACTTGCCCCTAAAGCAGGCCGACACCCTGCTGCAGCCCTGGGGCCATCAGCTATCCGCTGAGATTCACAACCTCAGGAGCGTAGACTGAGGAAAATGTACTCAGGGTCAGGGTGGTGCCTAGGATTAATTAAATCTGGTTTCCAAATACTGATTTAAAATCAAATTTCTAAAACATAAACAACCCTTAGAGACAACGACAAACAGATAAACTCTGCAGGACACACCCGTTACTGTGGGTGCCTGGCGGGGATGGATGGACTTTGGCTGGGAGACAAAGTGCCGTCCCAGAGCCTGACCTGCACAGACAAACCCGGCACTGGCAGGGGCCACAGCCGCTGGTCACTGATTCACAGTCTGCTCCTGGCACCGGGACCACGGAGACTTAGAAATCAGGGGCAACGAGCTGCTCTCCTTCCCCTACGGAGCCTGAGATCTCTCCTATCAACAGCGGCCCTACAACTGCTCTCATTAAAATTACCGAACGCAACTAAACATCATAACAACAAAAACCATAAAGCTTTCTTTAATTTTGTCTGTAAATCCATCTGCTGCAAAGTAAATTTTAAGATGTTTTAACTCCTAGACATTTTTCTAAGGAAAACCAGAGGTAATCTGAAAGTAAGTAAACATATTAAACTCCTGCTACAAAGTGATGCTTTGGCGCTGTGGGAGCCACCAGCCCACGTGGTGCTGACGAAGCGTGCTGCACTCGACCACCTCAGTGACTAAGACCCTTCTGAAGGATGCTGCTATGCTGTCCTAGTAAGCAAATGGTTTTTGTTTTTTGTTTTAAAGTAAAATACATTTAAAAATATATAACAAACTTCACAGATCCATTAACATGGATTCTAACACTTGCTAAACTTATCCTATTTTGCTTATCTGTAAGTATGTGTGTATGTATGTATGCATTCACTGACCTGAATCATTTTAGAATAAAATTATAGACAGCATAACCCTTTACTCCTAAATACTTCAGCATAACTATCCAAAAAAGAACATTCTCCTACATGACTCATTACCATTATTATGCATCAAAAAATTAGCAATGGTTCCAAACATCATCTACTACCCAGTATATATTCAAAGTTCCTGAACTCCCCTAATGTGTTATCACTGTTCTAGCTGAACAAGGACCTGATCAAGGACCACTAAAAATACCTCTGTCAACGTACCTGGATGGACAAAGAATGGCCGGTGGAAAGTCAGAGGGGCTGAAACTTCACAATCTATTAGCCTCCCATCTACTTTTCCGTTAAAAACAATTATCCATACTCTGATCTCAGAAGACTACTGTTCACAAACCCAGCATTTTCTTCAGTTTATTTTCCCTACATCAGCACACATCCACACAGTAGCAAGCAAACTGTCTTGCTGCAGGTCAAGTGCTAGCTCTGGGTTTTTTGGGTTTTTGTGTGTCAAGTGGAGGTAAAAGAGCCAGGGCTTGAAGTCCTGAGGGAACCATTCTGACAGTTTGACATGCCTGCCAGGTCTGCTCACTGCTGCTGGTCTGCTGGATTAACAACAGTGAAAATGGGCAGCGCGTGCTGGGAGACGGAGCTGCCCTGGGACACGTGCATGGCCCGCAGCTCCAGGAGCACCCAGCGTTGCTCTGTGCCTCGCTGGCTCCCTCCACCTCAAAGCTGACACTAACACAGCCCTTAGAGACAAAGAGTAGGTGTTACTAGATGCCGCTGACCCACATCATGGGTGGCCAGGCTGGATAAATGAGATTCCTTTACAGAAGGTACTCTGAATCCTAAGAAGAAAGGATCTATCTATTTAAAAGCCATTAATGACATTCTCCACAGCAAACTCACAAAAGATTCAAACTCCTGGATAGAAAAATATTTACATGGAATATTTTTTGAATCTAAACATTTTTAACCAACCGACAGGTGCTACACTGCGCCACGTGGTCATATTGAGATACGAGCCATTTTATTCCTTAGAAGTAGCTGTTAATTTTCTTTAACCTCTGCTGAACGGAAGGTACTTCCCCAGGCAGTTCAGCTCTGATTTTGGGTCCAAGTATTCCCACCAAAGGCTGCCACCCTCCTTCCTCCTGGAGACGGAGCCCAGTTCTTACCTTGTTTCCAGGGACACAGATGGCTTTGGGGCAGGGGCTTCTGTTTCTCAACAGCATTGCCCATTCTAAAGCCAGAAGATCACAGACCCCTTCAGGCCCAGATGTCTTTGCTGAACACCCAGTAGCACCAAGTCAGCAGCTGAAAGCGGACTGATTCATCTAAAACTTGAATTTTACTCTGAAAGGTCTTTGCTTCCTGCCTTTCCAACTCCCTCTACTTCCAGGGAGGAAATCAGAAGAAAAGGCGTGTTGTCACCTATCGGTGGGTCTCAGTAATGGTCTATATTAAGAAGCTCTTTCTTTGGCCTTCCTTTGACTCTATTACTCATGGGCACCGCAGCCGCCTCAGAGAATGAACTGTATTTCCAAACACTTTCAATACTGCTTTTCTTGAGTGGGGAATCAGGAGATCAAAAAGATAAAAGTTAAAAATGGACCAATTCTGGGAGTGCCACTGGGAGAAACACTGTCACACGAGCCTAAGGTCCCGCCTTCTGTTTAAGGTTCTCACCTCAGGCCAGTGTGCATCACAAGAGAGTTCGTCAGAGAAGGCAAACTGATTCATTAGTCCTGTTTCCAAGGGAAAACAAACAAACACCAAAATGCAAGCTACACCCGTTTCCAAAGAAGAAAAGACCACAGAGGACAAACTCAGCGAAGAGTTTGTAATCTCAAGCTCTAATCTTCCACTCCAGTTTGGACATAATTTTTCTGGAGGAAGTATTGCACCTCTATATTTTGAACAGGTTTCTTGGGACAAAAGAAGGGCATGAAATCATATCCTTTCTTGGTTAAAAAAAAAAAAAAAAAAAAAAAGACAACGTCAAGGTAGATGGAGAGATTTCATTGATTTCAATCTCAAAGTTTATGGTCAGAAAAGCTCTTAAAGAATGCCCTGGAGCACACAGCAGGTAAGCCCAGAGGCCAACCACCGGGTTCAAATCCCAGCTCTGCCACTGGTTTTACCAACTGAGCATAGCAGTCCCAGTTTCTTCATCTGTTAAATGGGCTTAATTCCAGTCTCGCCTCCTCAGCTGTAATGAGGATCAAACAAAAGAAAACATGTATGAAGTGCTTAGAATGCTGCCTGACACTGAGGAATCCTTTGGTAAATATGTATCGTCAACATTTTTATAATCTTAGACTGTGAAACTATATTAGCTCAGATGGCAGGCTTCTGGCTTCAATCAATTTAGCTACCAGCAAACAATCAAAGGGAATTTCATTCTATTGGGGTTGGGTAGTATAATATGGGAGCTAATTATAGAACGAGAGTAAAACTTAAGGACAGTATTTCCCCAAAGACCCACAGGACTCAGAGACTGAGTGTAAGAGGCACTGAACAGACTCGGGGTACGTGTGACACGCATGCCTGTGCTCGGTGTGCTGTCACAGCTCCTAGGTGCCCTGGCCTTCCTGGCACCAGCCGGCTGGTCCCCAGGGAGAGAGAAATCATCCTGACAGCATGAACATGAATGAAGCCCAATCCGAACCTCTGAGTGCACTTCAGGCCTCATCTTTTGATCTACGATCCAGAAACCACGTTTCAAGACCACAGCCTCTGATTCCGAACTTGGAAAAGCAAGTAGCAGCACAGGTCTATTCCACTCCTGCAGTGACGGGGCGGGAGAGAGCAGCACGTGAGGACCACTGCCAGCTGCCCATCCCTCACACTGCACCGCCCAGCTCTCCTCCAATCAAACTGCAAACACCAACCGGAAAAGATCAAGGGCCTGAAGTCCCACCACACCAGAGGGGCCACTGAAACACAACAGCTGGTAAAACACCCAATTTCAACTCAGGCCCACCCCCACCCCCACCAATAATCACCCACCCTTTCCATACACTGGAAGAGATTTCCGTTTCCTTCTAAATACCATAACAATCTTCCTTAGGCAAGTGTTCAACCCGGTATGACAGCTGACCCCATTTCTTCCACGAGACATGAAGTTCAATACACCTGCAAAAGCACAACAGATCAAAAAGGCTCTCCTTAGAAACCTGCATCTTAATGTCTCCTCTCACCTAAAGAAAGTTTTAATTACGAACATTTGGTAAACGACTTACCAAATGCTCTGCACACATGCCACCCAGCACTAGCAGAATAACTGCACATAGTAGGTGCTTAATAACCGTTGAACAAACAGATGGGTGGATTAAGGGATAAACAAATGAACAAATGAGAATTCTCCTCTCCCCCCCCCCCCTCACACACACACACACACACACACACACACTGCCTGCCCCCACCCCCAAGAATGAGTTAACCACTTTCTAATTCATAAAGAAGCTCTCCTTCCTGCAAGAGCCAGGAGTGGGGGCCTGTTTCCTCCACGGTCCCGCCCCTCAGTGCAGGCCGTTTCCCGCCTTGGGGTTTCGTCCGTGTCCCTTTACTTCCCTATCAGTCTGTAAAGCCCTTGAAGTCCGCACAGTGTTTGGGCCAGTTCTCACGCGCCTGTGCACACCCAGGACAACAGTCACAGCTGGGGAGCTGGGCTCCAGCCCGGTTCTGCCCTTCCTTAGCTGGGGGCTGTCACATTCTTAGCCGTTGCCCTGAGAAAATGAATCCCTAGTCCCAAACAACGGATTTACTAATGAACCTTCCAAACAAACTGGACATTTTCTTGAGAGAACAGTTTGAAAAGAAGAGCCTACGGTTCAATTGCTTCTCAGGTGATCATGGCCTCCCGACATGACTGCGGCGGGCACGGGTTGGGTGGGGGAAGGTAAACAGTCTGTCCTGCCCAGCTTGGGAAAGTGTCTGTTAGAGTCATCTCCAAAGGTGACTATGTTCACAACTCAAAATGGGCAAGGGACCCATCTCAGGCACACCTCCGGGAGGCAACCTGGGCCTCTCAAGGATAAGAAGAGTGAAAGGAAACGCGCCCAGAAGTGAGCGCTCACTGGGTGGCCAGTCTGGTGTTTCCATGTCTCCCACACATGGCTGGATGCTGTGGGTGCACGCACTGCTTTCGGTCAGATGGCACTTCACCATGTTGGCCAAGTCACTCCTAGAGGCATGACCGTCACAAGCCCCAAGTCACTAACTCCAACAAGCCTCTCCCACACCTTACAGATGGGGACTGCGGGTGGGGTGGGGTGGGGGGTGCATCAAGGCTACATACTTAGCCAGATCCAGCCCCAGAATTTTTCTCCTTGGCTAGGAAACCTGCTATCCACTTCCTCGTGGCCAGAGGCGGTAGAGCAGTGGGCAGGTGCTGGTTGTGGAGGACAGCTGGCCTGTCTGAATCTCTGGGGGGGCACTTCACAGCTGGGCGACTCTGGGATAGAACTTACCTCTCTGGACCTGACCTTTCCCCTGTGTAAATGTGTACCACTGTGCCACCTACTTCATAAAGTGGTTCAGAGATTAAAGATGATGTTTAACACTTGCTCACATTCAGCAGATATTCTTAAAGAATAGCTACTGTTGCGGTTTATATTATTTTATTGTATATAAACATCCAGCTTTAGATACAATACATTAAAGAAAAATCTTCACCCTCATAAGGGATCCTTTTTCCACATCACAGTAAGACCCACTGCAACATTCTGGTAACTAGCTCATTCCCTTAGTGCAAATAAAATAAAATTTCACTTACAAACCTTTGTCCCATGATACTATTTTGATTGTGGAAAGTGACATAAACCAGGGAGGTAACGTTGTGGCTACTGCGGTTTGAAACGTTTCAGAGAGCTCTACCCTCGGCACAAGGTACTAGGGCGGCAGTGGTTCTCAACCTTCTGGCCCTTTAAATACAGTTCCTCATGTTGTGACCCAACCATAGAATTATTTTCGTTGCTACTTCATCACTGTAATGTTGCTACTGTTATGAATCGTCATGTAAATATCTGATATGCAGGATGGTCTTAGGCGACCCCTGTGAAAGGGTCGTTCGACTGCCAAAGGGGTCGTGACCCACAGGTTGAGAACCGCTGTACTAGGGGGTTCAGAAGACAGCTAAACCAGGGAGTCCTGCAAGGCGCAGCTCACTTCTTGAGGGAGATTAAGGCAACAGAAATGATGGCTCAGAGGGAAAGGCCAGCGATCGCTGTATGTGCACATTTACCCCCAGAGGCAACGAGGCAGGCGGGCTCTCCGCCGGGCACCCAGTAGCTGACAGGCTTTGTGCATGGAATTTGTCTGCTGGGAGGAAAGTCTGATGTTGGTCACTTCCCCTCCAGAGAAAAATACAACAATACGAGGAAGCGCCAAGCACTGTGGGAATGTTCCAAGTGGGAGTTCCAGCTCAGTCCAGAACATAAACAAAGGGGAACCATCAGCCTGGAGGTCAGGCCCGCAGAGCACTGAGGCAGAAAGTCTGGTAGCCAATCTTCTGGGGCCAAAAAGACCCTCCTTTGAAGTGACTTCCTGCCCAGCCCTGGAGGAAATCATCGAAGGCAAAGGCCCAGCTCTCGAAGTGTGTCACAGGAAGCAGAGGTCGGATTCTCTGCGCCATACTCTTAGCCACAGACCGGTCTCAGAATGTCAGGGCGCAGGGAGAGTCAGATAACATGCACAAAGAATCACTTAGTTTCCACTGCGATCAGTGCTGAGAAGTTCCGGCAGGGAACACATCGAGCAGGGTGACCTGATCTAATCTGGGAGGTCAGGGAAGGCGGAGACTGAAGGATGAGCATGAGGTGACCAAGCAAAGAGGTGAAGAGCATTCCAGGCAGGAGCAGCATGTGCAAAGGCCCTGTTCGTTGTCGGTATGTGAATGGCAGAAGGTCAGATGGGGTAGGGCCTTTCCACCGCATTTGATTAAAGTCTCAAAAATTTCCAAAAAGCTAAGAACTACAGAGCTAGTCCAACCCTCTCATTCTGAAATGAGGAAACTGAGGCCCAGAGAGGGAAAGACATTTCCCCAAGCTTTCACAGATGGCCAGGGAGCCCAAATCGCTGACTCCCAGGCTGGTGTTTTTCCACAGTTAACCAGCTGCCTTCTTTCCGGCAGGGGTGTGTCAACAACAACAAAGTGCTAATCCTCACTGAATATTGATACTGTATCCCAAACAAGGCTGCTTTGTTTCTCTGTCCAGGCAGGACTAGAATGACACTCTACAGAAATGAATTGTCAAGTCGGCCAGGCCATCTTTCTTGGGGTCCAACCTAACCTGCAAATTACAAGGGGTTAGAACTCACCCCCCACCTCCAATTCCAGAGCACCCCCACAAGAAAGGCAGTCACAGCAGTCAGGGCTGGCCAAGAACTAAACCCCGCCTGCAGGCCATGAAAGGGAGAAGCCCACGCCTTCCATTTTGTCAATTCCACCTGGAATTGAGAGAAAAACGTTTTTAAAGTCAAAAATAGTAATTTCCTTCTCTGCCCACAGGGAGAATGGGACCAAACCCCAGTTCAGCTGACCCTCCTGCGGACTCGAGGGGCGTGGACCTGGGCGTGTTCCTGAGTTAGTTCTCTCACGACAGACCAAGCCCCTCACCAGCACAAACTCGTGGAACTCAGTGGTTCCTCCCCCAGTGTCTCCTTATCCAAACCAGGGCACCTGTGAGTGACAGGAGGGTGCTATTAATAACTGTGCCAGGACAGCAGGTGAAGCCAGGATGCGCGATCATCACCCCATCTGTCACAGTCTACATGAGCACAGTGATCCTCAGGTAATGCCCTCTGCTGCCCGACATCTCGCTGTGAGGCCAGGACAGAGCTACATTTATAAGCCAAACTCCAGAGACGGACCTTCAATCTCAGGCCGGGTCTCACCCGAAGGGAGAGCTCGGGCCAGTCGCAGTGAGCGCCCTGAGAGCAGAAGCACTGGCTTATCCATCCCATGGTCCCAGCACCTGCTGCCAGGAGCTGTAGACAGTAGGTGTTCAAGAAACCAGCTGAAAGAATGAACCAATGTTTCATATTGAATTCCCTAATTCTAAGAATTCCCTCTTCAGTTCAACTTTTGAAATCAGTGCATTGTTTCATAGTCTATCTTGCTAATGTATTTTATTTTTCTTTGTTTCCTGGGAAGTACTATGTGTTGGTGCTGTGGTATCAAACAAACACAGTAACTGCCTTTCATCCAAGATTCATACAGAAACCGGTTAATGATACTCCTGGGACCAGAGAGCCCATCATGGCAATCACGACCGGGCAGGCTCTGTGACCTTCAAATTCTTGGAGAAGACTTGAGTTTGCTTCTGGATCTTGATTCAGAGCTCAACCTCTCTCTTCCCCTCCTCCAAGTCAGTGACACTGTCTCACGCCTGTGGCCAATAGCCTGGAGCCCTGCCAAACGGAGCTGGAGTAAATGCCATCTGTGCTGTTAACCCAGAGGACGTGCCGCCAGGGGATCCAGGCAGAGCCTCACATGGAAGCCACCAGGAGTCCCAGTGTCTGTGAATAGCTGACATGCAGTAAGCACTCCTATGTGCCAGGCTACCCCCCCTGCCCCAGGCTCTGGGGCTCTTTAGGCCCCTGTCCTTCATCAGCCCCTCTTGGCACCAACCTATTTAGACAGATACAGGACAGGAACCAAGGTTGCCAGAGGGCAGCTCTGGACGGTAGCCTGTGCGGGTCCACGAAGGAGCTCAGCACAGCTGAGCAGCTCAGGTCCAACGGGACGAGATCCACATTAGGTGGGCCCGGGTCCACCCTGGCTTCAAAGCTTCCTGCCCGCAGAGCCAGCACCTCATCATCGCACAGGACCCCTCCAGGGACACGCTGAATGGCACGAGTCACTGCGCTCAAGAGGCGCAGAGTGCGCTGCCCACCAGGTGTTTACAGTTCGCCTGCTGTCCCCGCCCAGGGGGAATGCATTAGACCAGGGCATGGTTACCAGAAGCATTGGTCCCAGTAATACAGTTGTCATATGTCATCATGTTTTTAATGTTCTAATATAATTTATTGTATTAAGATACTTCAGGTTAAATAATGATGATGTAA